CTTTCTTCTTTAATGTAGCCATTTATTGTTATAAACTTCCTTCTTAGTACTGTTTTTGCTACATCCCATCAGCTTTGGTATGTTGTGTTTTTGTTTTCATTTGTCTCAAGATATATTCTTTTTTATTATTTTATTTTATTTTTAATTAAAAAACAATAATTAGATATATTTAAGGGGTAAAGAGTATTTCAATATATGTGTATACTGTGGAATAATCAAATTGGAATAACCAAATCAGAATAATCAGCAAACCAATAAAATCAGAGATGAAAAAGAAGACATTACAACTGATACTAAAGAAATGCAAAGGATGGTAAGAAACTGCTGTAGACAATTATATCCCAACAAATTGGATAGAATTTATAGATAAATTCCTGGACATATAAAACCTATTAAGATTGAATTTTAAAAACAGAATATCTGAACAGACCAACAACGAGTATTTGAAACTGAGTCAGTAATAAAGTCTTTAATCAAAGAAAAGTGCCGGACCTCATGGCTTCACTGCTGAATTCTACAAAAAAAAAAAAAAAAAAATTAAGTTCTTTAGAATTTTTCACAAACTATAGAAAATAATTGAAAAGAATGGAACCCTTCCAAACTCATGCTACGAGGTGATAATTACCCTAAAACCAAAACCAGACCAAGACACAGAAAGAAAGAGAGCTACAGGCCAATATTCCTGATGAGTGCAGATGCAAAAATAGTCAACAAAATGCAAGCAATAGAAACTCAACAGCACATTAAAAAGATCATTCACCATGATCAAGTGGGATTTATACCAGGGATGCAAGGATGGTTTAACACATGCAAATCAATAAATGTGATACATCACATTAACAAAGAAAGGATAAAAACATGACTATTTCAATAGATGCAGAAAAAGCATTTGACAAAATTCAATCCCTTCATGATAAAACCTCAACAAATCAGGTATAGAAGGACTATAACCTTCATATAATAAAGGCAATATACAATAAATCCACAGCCAACATTGTATTGAATGAGAAAGAGTTGAAAGCTCTTCCTCTAAATTCTCAAACAAGACAAGGATGCCCACTTTCACCACCACCATTCAGCATAGTACTGGAAGTTTTAGCAAGAATAATTAGGTAGGAGAAAGAACAAAATGTAGTGAAATTAGAAAGGAGGTAGTCAAATTGTTCCTGTATGCAGATGACGTTATCTTATATGCAGGAAATCCTAAAGACTCCACCAAAATACTGTTAGAACTAATAAACAAATACAGTAAAATTGCAAGATAAAAAGACAACATACAAAAATTAGTAATGTTTCCATACATCAATATCAAACTGTCTGAGAGAAAGAAAGCAATCCCACTCACAATAGCTACAAAAAATAATAAAATACCTAGCAATAAATTTATCCAAGGAAGTAAAGTATATCTACAAGGAAAACTACAAAACAGTGATGAGAGAAATTGTAGCTAACACAAATGGAAAAACACACCATGCTTATGGGTTGAAAAAATTAATATCATCTATTAAAATGATTATAGTGCTCAGAGCAGTCTACAGTTTCAATGCAATCCCTATCAAAACACCAATGTTATTTTTCAGAGTTAGAAAAAAGCAATTCAAAAATTCATATGGAACCACAAAATACCCTAAATAGCCAAAACAATCTTATGCAAAAAAAGAAAAAGCTGGAGGCTTTACACTATCTGAGCTTGAAATGTGCTATAAAGCTATAGTAACCAAAACAGCATGCTATTGGTATAAAAGCAGACACACAGACCAACAGAACAAAATAGAGAGCCCAAAAATAAATGCAGCAATTTACAGCCAATTGATTTTCAATAAAGGAGTCAAGAGCACTTAATGGGGTAAAAACAGCTTCTTCAATAATTGGTACTGGGAAAACTAGATATCCACATGAAAAAGAATAAAACTAGACTATCTCTCACCATATACAAAAATTAACTCTAAATGAATTAAGGTCTTCAATGTAATACCCGAAATTATAAAACTACTAGAAGAAAACATAGGAAAATGTTTCATGACATTGGTCCACACAAGGATTTTTTTAGAGAAGACCCCAAAAGCAGCAACAACAAAAGCAAAAATAAATAAATGGGACCACATCAAACTAAAAAGCTTTGGCACAGCAAAGGAAACAATCAGCAGAGAAAAGAGACAACACACAGAATGAGAAAAAATATTTGAAAAGTACACATTCGACAAGAAGTTGATATCCAGAGAAATGTAAATCAAAACCACAATGAGATATCACCTTGCCCCAGTTTTAAAATAGCTATTAACAAAAAGATTAAATATAACAAATGTGGCAAAGATGTGGAGAAAGGGAAACTCTTACTGTTGGTGGGAATATAAGCTAGTAGAGTCATTATGGAAAACAGTATGGAGGTTCCTCAAAAAATTAAAAATAGAACTACTACATGACCCAGCAATCCAACTACTGGGCATATATCCAAAGGAAATCAAATCAGTGTGTTAAAAAAATCTGGACTCCAGTGCAGCACTATTTATAATAGACAACACATGGAATCAACCTAAATGCCCATCAACAGATGAATGGATAAAGATACTGCCGTATACATACACAATAGAACACTATTCAGCCTTATAAAAGATGAAATCTTGTCATTTTCAATAACATGGATGAATCTGGAGTACATTATATTAAGCGAAATGTTGGGCACAGAAAGACAAATACTGCGCCATCGCACTTATATATAGAATCTAAAAAAGCTGATCCCAGAGAAGTTGAAAGTAGAATACTGGTTAGCAGCAACTTGGGAGAATAGTGGAGAGGAAGAGATGGTGAAAGGTTTGTCAGCAGGTACAATCTTACAATTAGATAAGAATTAGTTCTGGTACTCTATTGTGCAGTAGGGTGAGTCTAGCTAACAAAAATGCATTATATATTTTCAAATATCTAAAAGAGGGGATTTTGAACATTCTTACAACAAAGAAATGATAAATGTTTAAGGTGATTCATATGCTAATTTTCATCAACGTACAATGTATACATTTGTCAAAATACCACATTGTGCCCCATAAATATGTACAATTATTATGTTTCAATAAAAGGAAGAATATCCTGCTGTATTTGACAAGATGGATGATCCTGGAGGACAATATGCTAAGTGAAATAAGCGAGTCATAGAAGGACAAAATACTGCATGATTCAACTTACATAAGGTATCTAAAATAGACTTACAGAAAAAGAGAGTAGAATAGTGGCTGTCAGGGGCTGTGGTGGGAGTGGGGGAAATAGGGGGCTGAGTTATGGTTAAATGGGTATAAAGTTTCAGTTATAAAAAATGAATACGTTTTAGAGACCTGCTTACAACAGAGTGCCTATAATTAACAATACTATATTGTACACTTAAAAATAGTTAAAAGAGTAGATCTTATAATAAGTGTTCTTATCACAATTAAAAGAAAAAAAGCCATGATGTTGAAATAAAGACTAATGGACATGGGAGATAATAATTTTAGATGCAGAGTTAAATTGGGCTCTCTGAGTATACAATATTTAAAATGACATGTAAGGAAAGAACATGGTAGGCAAAGAGGCCAAGATGGACAGCATTCTGCGGTGTGAATGTGCTTCTTGTGTTCAAGAAATAAACAAAGATTAATTTGCTGGATCATAGAGAGCAAGGAGAAATTTGGAAGAAAATGAAAGAAGTGGCAGCAGAGAGGTTAAGCAACTTTTGTAGGCCACAGTTAGAAAATTTACTCTAAGTACAATCAGAATCTAGATTTGGGACATAAAAGCAAGATTTTAGTTTTATACATGTTATTTTTGAGACATCAGTGAGAAGTTTAATAAAAACCTGGAAATATAAGCATCTCAGGATGGAGCATTAAAGAACACCTATAATCAGAGTATGAGTACAAGATAAAAAGCCAACAAGGAAAACCAGCAGAACATGCAGCAAAGTTGGAGAAAGAAAATACCAGTTAAACCACACGTGTTTATAGCAGCTTTATTCATAACTGCCAACACTCGGGAAGCAACCAAAATATCCTTCAGTAGGTAGATGAATAAAGTGTGATACCACTTGACAATAGACAATATTCAGTGCTAAAATGAAATGAGCTATCAAGCCATGAAAAGATATGGAGAAAAGAGATGCATATTACTATGTGAAAGAAGCCAATATGGAAAGGTTACATACCATATGATTTCAACTATCTGACATTCTGGAGAAAGCAAAACTGTGGAGACAGAAAAAGATCAGTAGTTGTCAGGGGTAAGGGAAGAAGGAAGAATGAATAAGTAGAGCATAGAAGAGCTTTAGAGCAGTGAAACTACTCAATATGATACTATAATGATAAATACATGTCATTATACATTTGTCCAAATCCATAGAAGGGACAACAGAAAGAGTGAATCCTAATGTAAACTATGGTCTTGGGATGATAATGATGTGTCAATGTAGGTTCATCAACTGTAAAAAAATGTAGCACTCTGTTGGAGGATATCGACAATGAGGGAGGGTATACGTATGTGGGGGCAGAAGGTATATGGGAAATCTCTGTACTTACCTCTCCATTTTAATGTGAACATAAAACTGTTCCTAAAAAGTCTATTCAAAAATAAATTTATACTATAATACTAAATTAATTACTTAAGTCCTTTATATAAAAACTAGCCACACTCCACTTACTTCTGAGTAAATTTCTCCTTCTAATGCCTATGTGCCCACAAGGGCATAAACATGTACATTTTTGTGGGCTTGTTGGTGTCCCTGTTTAACAAGTATGTTTGCACTGGAATGTGGTAGAGAAAATGCAAGTGGAACAAGTGAGTGAACCAAATGTCATTAGTAAAGTTTGACCAGCAAGTTCCAAAAATCCTAACATTTCCCTTTAGCCTTCCTCGTTCAGGTGTTACATTTCTGAGAATGTTTTATTTTTATTACATAATTGACTTCTAAAGAGGTAAGAATATCACCTCATGAACTTAAATGTATTGTGGGGTTTCAAATGTAACTCATTGCGTGAGGAAGGTCTGAGATGAGTGAAACATTTTTGTATATACAACAGTGTTAAAATTCCAATCTTATAGAAATTTTTGCCTTCTCAACACTTTCTTGAATGCATTCTTGACTTCTCTGTTCCTAAGGCTGTAGACCACAGGGTTCAGCATGGGGATGATCATAGCGTAGAACACGGATGCTATTTTGTCTGTGTCCATGGAGTGGCTGGAGCTGGGCTGCAAGTACATGAAGATGACTGTCCCATAGAAGATGGAGACTGCAGTGAAATGAGAGGCACAGGTGGATAATGCTTTTTGGTGTCCCTTAGCTGAATGCCTCTTCAAGATGGTGATGAATATGAACAAGTAGGAGATAAAGATAACTAGAAGAGCAAAAAAGATATTAAAGCTTGACATAAAAACCAGAATCGCCTCACTAATGTGTCTATCAGAGCAAGACAGAGCCATGACTGCTGGAACATCACAGAAAAAGTGATGGACTTCATTGGACTTACAGAAAGAGAGACTGAATATGCCCCCAATGTGGAATGAGGCATTTAGGAAGCCACAGACATATGAGCCTAGGGCCAGACGAGCACATACACTGGCCGTCATGGTGGTGGTGTAGTGTAGGGGTTTGCACACTGCTGCATAGCGGTCATAGGCCATTGAGGCCAACAAGTAATTTTCCACAGTGGCCAAGGCTACAAAGAAGAACATCTGAACAGCACATGCATTGTAGGAGATGACCTTGTCTCCTCTAAGGAACCCAGCCATGACCTTGGGAGTGACAGTTAAGGAGTATCCAAAATCCACCAGAGACAGGTTACTAAGGAAAAAGTACATGGGGGTGTGGAGATAAGAGTCCATCAGGATCAGCATCATCATCCCCACGTTCCCACACAGAGTGAGGAGGTAGACAAAGGTGAACAAGATAAAGAGGGGGACCTGTAGTTCTGGGGCATTAGTTAGTCCTAGAAGTATGAACTTTGTCATTTCTGTACAATTCTCCATCGGTATTATCAGGAATCATAAGATGTCCTGTAGCAATAAGAAATAAAGCAATAGAGTGATAAACAAAAAAGAGATTTAGAAATGTATAAATACTATATGCATTATGTAATTAGAGCAACAATTCATACTTCAAAATTCTATAGATCTAAAGCATAGGCTTAATAACAATCTTTAATGAATTATCTACACAGTTGCAATCTGTTGAATCCAGGGGATCTTTATAAATAATATCCCAATGTTTCCATTTTATAAATTTATAAACTGCTATGTAGTATATTTAATGATGTGTCCAAGATGACGCATCTGGAACTAATTTTTCTGCCAATTCCATTTTCCCTAATCTGGTAAAACTTATATATTTATGTTGCTCACATACTGGGAACTGCTCTAGGCAATTTGTATGTATATTGATTCCTCTCAACAATATAATGAGGTTGATTAGTTATTGCATTTATTTAATTTGTGAGGCTCACAAGATTAAGTCATTTATTCATATATACACAAGTGTTAATAGCCAAGCCTATCTTCTGGCTCAGGAGAGTTGTTCTCAAGTTCAATGGTCTAAATTGAATCTAAATCAAATTGAATGTGAAGCAATTTACAATTACTCATTGTCTTTGTTGGTGCAAACTTAGGCAGGTTTCACAGTGAGGTAACTGAGAGGAAAGTGCACATTAACGGTCTCAGGACAGCTGGAGAAGTAGAGAAATGTACAACCAGCAAAGGCAATTCTGAGGGGAAGGTGGCATCAGATATAGAGCTTGGGATTGGGAAGAGGTGCATATTAGCCCTACCATTTACCACTTAGGCAGCATCGGTCCCAGACTAACTTCCCTGAACCTTGTTTATTTTACCTGCAGAATGAAAATATTAATGACATCAACCTCAAGGCATTATTTTGAAAATTCAATGAAATAATACATTTTTACAACAATAAACAAAATGTTAAATGTTTAGCACAGTCTGATGAGAGCTAGCTATAATGTTATTGTTAGAATGGAATGATGATCTCTGTTAGTTTCATAAAGGAGGATGGCAGGGCTTTGTGTGTTGGTAAATTTTGAAGTCTTGTAGCCCCTTCTTCAATTGGTCTTTCCTCACATACTAGGGCTACTGAGATTTTCTGTGCCTCCCAATAATTCTCATTCTGTCTTTTTTTCACACAAATGATTGACTGCTCCAGCAATTCCACGTGAACCATTCTTCTGTTTAATTTCTTCATTGAAACTTACATTTTAGCTCGGTTTCGCAGCATCTCCTTTACTTAAACGCATTCTTTTCTTTCATTTTTGCCATCTCTTAGTTGAATGCAGACCCTTATAGTTTAAAATGCATCGTTCGTGGGTTTCCTTTAGTCTGCAGATCTGCAGATCTGTTTTGGTGGCAGGTTCTGAGTTGTAAAATTATTATTTAGATCGGTTCTTGCATATGAATAGTGTTCTAAATTAGAAAGGGCATTCATCCTCTAACTACTATTCATCTGCTAACTACTATTGCCTACTGTCTTTCCACACTGCGTAAGTTTAGCCCTTGAAGCCTTATGTTTGCCAAACTTAACTCACATAACCACTTTTAGAATATACTATGTTCTACAACAGATGTTAAGAACTTTTTATATAAATGTTTACGTGTGTGTTTGTGTGTGATAAGTATTATTGTTATTACTATTTTACCATTACGAGAATTTGATATTTGAAAAGTTTTGTGATATTCTACAATTATACAACTAGTATGGAGAACAGTCAAGATTCACAACTGAAACCAAGTTCCAACCTAATCAAAATTTGTGCTTTTAGCTACTTCACAACGAGCATTAGATGTGCTAGTCATAATAAGGATGAGATTATGGGGGAAAGGTTACAATTTTGTATGCATCTTGCTAACTTATTTAGTTCCTTTTATAGTCTGAAGAGCTGTCAATTCACACTTCTGTTATTTTTGTTTGTTTTACTTCCAGTAGAAGCCTGATAGTGAGTAAGATGAAATTACCACCTACTTAATCAGCACATCATCTATCTTATTTTTTTCATCTTCTTTAGGGAAGCAGTATGATATTTCACAAGTATCACTGAATACCCTACCAATGGAAGTTTTGACATCTCTATACTCCAGCCTCAGCATATGTTTTTATAAAAAGAAATTTAAAGCATCTACTCCTGTTCTAAAATAATATAGTATCTATAGTTGTCCCACTGCTTTTGCACGAATTCCCTGTTTTACTAAATGTACATGTGGAACATAGAAGCTTACCTTGCGCCTGGAAAAAAAGAGATAGTCTATCCTGAATACTAAGTCTAAAGTTGGAAATTCAGTCATGGAATAATGTATAAATACCATCAGAAAAATAATCTATCTCAGGTAGTGGTCAAAAGGCTCCAAGTTCTCTACGGCAAGGAAAGACAGAATAAAAAAACACTAACATCAATAAACTAAATTAAATATAACTGCTATTGTTAGGAATGAGCTCTAACACATAAAGCATTCACTATGGGCAGATTCTCTTTTATGTATTTTGCATACATTAGCTCAAAAAAGTAGAAAGTAAAGGTGTATTGTAGGTGAAAAATAGGATTCCATGTAAGCTTTGATTTTGCTGTGTGTGTATGTGTGTGTGTACACATGCATGCAGTCACCCATTATGGGTCACAATGTAAATCATGTGGATTCCTTATTTTTAAAAATCTAAAGCTTTCAATCAAGAGCCTCTGAATAGCCTGTGCAAAGTTAGGCATGAGACTGTGCTTCAGTAACACAGAACCATGTATTTTTTAATGTGCTCATTGATCATTTGCTGACTCATTTATTTATTCATTTATTCATTTAGATACATTCACTCATTGCCTCAACAAATATTTAGAGTGCCCTTCATTTTCTAAATGCTCTTCTAAGCACATGGATTTTTTGTGTGTATAAGGTTATTTTGTTTTTTGTTTTTTACTTTTAAGTTCAGGGACACATATATAGGCTTGTTACATAGGTATGTTTGCATGATGAGGGTTTGTTGTACATATTATTTCATCACCCAGGTATTAAGCCTGGGACCCATTAGTTATTTTTTCTGATCCTCTCCCTCCTCCTACCCTCCACCCTTCGATAGGCCCCAATGCCTATTGCCCTCTAAGCATATGAATTTTAAATGATGAGAATAGTACCATCTTCTATTATTTGAATAAAATCACCATTTTTCTAATTAATGGAGATTGTTGTAACACCTGGACTGTGGCTAAATAGCGTGAGAGCATGAAAATATTTAAAACTGGATACTAAACTCTGGATGTATTCAATGGGAAAATGTTTGCCCTTGAACTTTTATATAGCACATATTCTATTACTACAACCGAAACAGACCATAGAACTGAGCTAGAAACTTACCTTGCTCTTCAAGGAAGATGACACACTTTCAGTTGGTATCTTCAAATTGCAAGTCCTACTCAAAGAAGAAAGAAAAGCTACTATTTAAGAAGTTGTTATTTAATGTCTAGTCACAAATATTGAAGTTCTCTAGAGGGAGGGAGATTTAAGGAAAAAGTGATGATTAGGTGGAGATTAGAAAATATTCTCCAACTTGTCACACAGGAAGAAGCTGCTGTGAGGAAAAATAGAAGTCTCTGAATGCATTCTGTAAAGTGCTAAAGAGCTCTAAGAAGGGATCATCATATCCACAATGAACATCATTTTTAGCTGGGGGTTTTATCCCTGGCCATTGTTGCAGACTCAGAGTAATATACCTGTGTGAAATAAGGCCACTTAGTACAATGGACAACCTTTTACACTGAGATCAATAAATGATCACCAAAAGGTGACACACAGGGTGGAACCTCTAACATGATGTTAAATAGAGTCATGTTGGGATGTTAGTGACCAATGACTGGGAACTAACAATAATTGAGGAATTTGAAGATACATAAAGTTCTCAGGGGACAAGTTACCCATGAGAATAACCAGAGTCTCTCACTCCAATCATCGAGAGAAGCAACAACTAAACTGTGCATGGAAGCCTGGTTCTGTTTTCTTAGGAAGAACACTAGTATATTTACTTTACTCGGAGTTATTTCTTCTTGGTAGTGCAAACATCTTCAGAGAAGATTCATCATTAACTTTTCTGGCAGAAATTAGACAGAATCATGAGCGGCATAACAGAAACTAGGCTAAAGTATTATGTAAGTCGTGTTGGCCCATGGCAGCATAACTTCCCAAAATTCATATTGAGATTATAGGTTATATAAACACTTATGCACTTGAATTCTCTCACTAATAAAATAGAGATGAGTACCCTTTTTTCTGAGATAGTAGAATGGATGCTTTGCCAGAATCCTTGCCCACTTGGAAATATCAAGTAGTGTGTAGAGATTCACACTGTGAACTTGTATCCAAGAAGAAACATGATTGTTCAACATAAAGTGAAAGAAAACTTTGAATACTGCTGAAAACAAGACAGACAGCAGCCCAAATGGAAATCTGTGAATCAATCCCTCCATATGTGAGAGGGGGAGTGCTCCACAATACACATTTCCACCAGGAAGCCAGGAAATCTAGACCATCGGGAACTTTTGAGCTTCCCAAAACCTGGATCAGACTTGGGGAACAGTCAAGGGACTGTGAGAAGGAAGAGCACTGGGAAGTACCCCACATGCACTCCCAGGCTTAAGGACCAATGGAAGGAGGTCATTCCTGACGCTAACTCATAGTGGGTTGCACAGAAACCTGCCATCTAGCATTGGTGGCAGTCACTGGTTTGTAGAGTCGTTAGTCAGGGATTTATGATCTTAACTTGATTGGAGGAGGAATCCACATAGCCAGAATGGAGAGGCAAGAATAGCATGGGCTTCAGCTGCAGACAGTGGAATTGGGAACCCACCTTGCAGGACCAGATCAGGAGGGTTTGAGTCTGAGATGAGTGGTGTTGGCCAGGGTAGAAAGTTTTGTAGCCTGGGACATTTTCACAGTCTAAAGGCAAACTGCATTTGAGTTGGCTAACTGTCCCAATTCACTGCTAGTGTCCAGCCGTGGGAAGGAGCCATGATGGGTTGAGTGAGAGCAAATTG